CCCTGCAGAGCACGGAGCCCATCTCCCCTGAGCTGTGCGGCGGCAGGGACCCCCTGGCCGATGGGGCAGATGGAGCTGCAGGGTTGGCCCAGACTGGCCCCGAACCTGGGGCACAGCTGCCATGCTGTGAGCAGGGGGACAGCCACCATAACAGCTCCTCGTGCAGGTGAGAGCAAAGGGAACGGTCCCAAATGCTGCTGATCTCCCCATTAATTTTGTGCTTTGTGGAAAGGCTGAATTTCCCATCTGCACTGGGAGGGAGCATGGCATGGGGGCAGCCCACCCCGGGGACGTCTTGCTGGAGTTCCTGGGCTTCCAGCAGCTCCTCTGGGCTAACGGGGCTGGGCCAGGCGCAGCTTTACCCCCATCAGGCTGGTGGGAGGGGGGTGGTACCATCTCTCCCCATGCCCACCGACCCCGCTGTCCCAGCCTGCAGGCCAGTGAGGTCCTGCTGGAAGCAGAGGCACCGCGGAGTGGTACCATGGTGCTGGATGGGGCCGAGGGCACCAGCACCCGCCTCGACTTTAAGGTATCCGGTTTCTTCCTCTTCGGCTCCCCGCTGGGGCTCGTGCTCGCGCTGCGCAAGACCGTCATGCCCGCTCTGGACGGTGAGGACCCCCTCCCTGTGGGGCTCGAGCCCATGTCCCCCAGCTCGTGCTCCCCCTGCAAGCCTGACCCCCCGCCGCAGGACTTCCCAAAGAGCCCTGCTTGGATATGAGCCCCTTGCATGCCAAGCCCTGGCTGCACGATGTCGGTGTTGGTTTGTGCCCCAGTGTCCCCGCTCTGTGCCAGCCCAGGTTGTCACTGGTGTCCTGAGTTTGCCTCCCCAGCCTTTCCTCTCACTGGGTTCTGCTTTCTTCCCGCCCTGGGTGTTGAGCTCCCGGCTGCGCTGCCCTGTGCCCTGTCCCTTGCCGGGCTCCTCACCACAGGGCAGCCCTGACCCCAACTCTCTGCCTCAGTGGCCCAGCTGCGTCCCGCCTGCGAGCAGATCTACAACCTCTTCCACGCCGCTGACCCCTGCGCCTCGCGCCTGGAGCCCCTCTTGGCCAAAGCCTTCCACGCCGTCCCGCCGCTCAGCGTGCCCCGCTACCAGAAGTACCCGCTGGGTGATGGCACATCTTCCCTGTTGGGTGAGCAACCCCTGCACTGGACTGGTCCTGGGCACCCCAGGATGCTCTGGGGGCTCTTGGATCACGCTGAGGTACCCAGAACACCCACAGCACTGCAGGTGCCCGGCTGGGGTAGGGGGAAAGTGATGTGCAAGCCCTGCCCACCCTTTGGGGCTCTGTTGGAGGTGGGGTCCCAGGGTGACCAGTGTCCCCAGGGACATCTGGGTGACCTCAGTCGTCTCTCTCCACAGCGGAGGCACTGCAGATGCACTCTGCCCTGTTCCTGCCTGAGGTGGACATGGCTGCCCCTCCTACCCCCACCGGTAGCTTTGGGGGCTTCTGGAGGGGCAGTGAGCCAGGGGAGCCCCCCACTCCCGCCAGCACCAGCGAAGTCGTCAAGAGTGAGTGCCATTCCCTGCCCATCACATCCTGTACTGGCACCTTGGGATGCACAATGTGAGTTCCAGTCCAGGAATGGATTCATTCCACTTCTCCTCCACAGTCCTGGAGCGCTGGTGGGGCCCGAAGCGCATCGACTACTCGCTGTACTGCCCCGATGCCCTGACTGCCTTCCCCACCATCACCCTGCCCCACCTCTTCCACGCCAGCTACTGGGAATCCTCCGACGTGGTGGCCTTCATCCTGCGCCAGGTACGGCGGGGCGGGCGGCATGGCTCGCCAGGGCTGGCGGAGGCTGAGCCGGAGCTGTGCCACTCGGCAGGTGATGGAGAAGGAGGGACCACAGCCAGCAGAGAGCGAGGAGAGCTCTATCTACAGCCCTGCTATTCCCCGGGAGAAGTGGCAGCGCAAGCGCACCCAAGTGAAGATTCGTGTATGTGTCCCATGGCCCACGGGGGCCATACCCGGGCTTCTGCCATCCCTGCATGTCCAGACAGACCCTCAGCCGTGGAGCTGGGAGGGTTTGCTCCTGTCTTCTGGGAGGATGCTGGGACGGTCCCACAGCCCGGCGGAGTCTGTGTGCCCCCTCGGGTGTCACCCATGGCCCCACTGCTGAGCACCTGTGTCCCTGCAGAACGTGACAGCCAACCACCGGGCCAGCGATGTGATCGTGTGCGAGGGCAAAGCGCAGGTCCTCAGTGGCCGCTTCATGTATGGACCCCTGGACGTGGTGACGCTGACAGGGGAGAAGGTACCGTGACCCCATAAGGATGGGACAGCATGGGGCTGCTGTCACCTGCAGCAGGGGAAGGGATGTGGTGAACAGGACCCCTAGGACCTTGTGGCATGGGCGGTGAAGGTTGTAAGGATTTGTAGGCTGGGGACATGGCAGGATCTGGAGGTTCAGTCCATGCTCAGTCCTTTTCCCTCTCCCAGGTGGACATCTACATCATGACACAGCCGCTGTCGGGGAAGTGGCTGTACTACGGCACCGAGGTGACGAGCGGCAGTGGGCGCCTGACCTTCACCATCCCTCCAGACAAGGCTCTGGCCATCGGCATCTACCCTGTGCGCATGGTGGTCAGGTGAGATGCGGGTGTGCGGTGCCGTCTCAGCTCCTCCTCCAGCTGTTTTGGCAGAGGCTCACCTGCCCCCTTGGCAGCAGAGCTGGTGCCAAGCCTCCCTGCTCTGCCATCCCAGGGGAGACCACAGCTATGCTGAGGCGTACCTGACAGTGGTGGCCCGGGGCACCGAGTCAGTCGTGTTCAGCATCGATGGCTCCTTCACTGCCAGCGTCTCCATCATGGGCAGCGACCCCAAAGTGAGGGCGGGGGCTGTCGATGTCGTACGGTAGGTGCCCTTCAAATAAGGGGGACAATATTTCCTCTCCTTTTACGGTGCAGTGACAACCCAGTGTGGGTAGCAGGGACATCAGAGCAGGCTGCATTCCCAGGGACAAGCTGGGGAATCTTTTGCCATCCCTTCACCCAGAGACTATTCACAGCTTCTCTGCACTGGTGCCTTCTCTTGGGAAAGGAGTCCACTCCTCATTTTGGTCCTGAACCCTGCTGTGATAGTCCACAGCTCTACTGTGCCTCCAGCCTTGCTAAAATCCCCAGGAGGAGGAAGGTTTTGGAGGCAGTGCCCATGCATGATGTTTTGGGAGATGCTTGGTGGCTTTCCGCCAGCAGGACTGTCCCCATACAGGCTCCTGGCACCAACAAGTGTCCCCTCCTAGGCACTGGCAGGACTCAGGCTACATGATCATCTATGTGACGGGGCGCCCTGACATGCAGAAGCATCGCGTGGTGGCCTGGCTCTCCCAGCACAACTTTCCCCACGGCGCCGTCTCCTTCTGTGACGGGCTCACTCACGACCCCCTGCGCCAGAAAGCCGCCTTCCTCCAGAGCCTGCGCACCGAGGTGGGGACAGGGGCACCAGCAGAGTGGGGATGTGGGGTTGGTGGCAGCGTGGGCTGTGCCATAGCCCGTGCCCCTCTCTGTTTTGGAGGTCGCTATGGAGGTACTTGGAGCTGAACCAGCTCCCAGGCCATGGGAGTTGCAACCATCCCTTGTAAAATGAGGGTGTCCCATTTCCTGGGGTTGGCTGTCCCTGTGGAAAGGGTCTCTCCTTGCCCTAACACTTCTGTCTGTGGGCAGGCAGAGATCACCATCGTCGCTGGCTACGGCTCCACCAAGGACGTCTCTGTCTACAGCTCACTGGGGCTGGCACCAGCACACATCTACATTGTGGGCCGGGCCGTCAAGAAGTTCCACAACCAGTGCCAGGTACGGTGGCAGGGCTGGGGATGGGCTGTGGCTGCGAGGGGACAATCGCTGACCCCACCAGGGCAGTGGGAGCGTGCGATGGCTGGTGTTGCCAGCTCAGGCTGTCTTTGTATCCTGCAGTTCTTGTCCGAGGGCTACGTGGCCCACCTGGCTCAGCTGGAGGCGGCGGCCCTGGCCCACTCTCCCAAGGGCCCTCCGCGGCCCGTGCTGGGCAAAGGCACCTATGGCTGCCCGGCACCTGTCGACTTCCTACGCAAGCAGAGCCAGCTCCTGCGCTCACGGGGCTCCAGCCAGGCGGAGCGGGATGGGGGGCCCCCGACAGCACCCTCTGGTCTGCCCCGGGCCAAGCCCCGCAGCGTCAGCCTCAAGCTGGAGGGTGAGGAGTGAGGGTGGCACGGCCACCGTGCCCCCTCTGTTGCAGCCTTCATTTCCCAACCAGGAGCCCCTGGGGCCGGAGCCTGCGATGGGCCCCAAGCAGACAGGAAGGAGATGAGGGCACTGGGTCCCCCGAGATCGAGGGTTCCCAGGAGATGGCACTTCCAGCCACCCCAGGGGCTGGAGTGATTCCCTTGGGGCTGAGCCATCCCGGACCCCCACTAATGCCCCTCAGCTCTGCCTCCAGCCTCCTACCCCATCCCTTCTGGTCCTTTGGAGCTGCAGAGCCGCTGCTGGGCAGCGTCTGGTGGGGTTTGCCCCACCGGGAGCCAGTGTACTGCCCTCTGGGGTCGTCTGTCCCTGGGCAGCGCTGGAAAGGGCATGGCTACATCCCAGGACAAGCGGTACCTCCCTGCTCCCCACTTATTTATTTCTGTTCGGTATCACCAGCTGCGGGGAATGGGAAAGGCCGGGATTGAAAAGCGATTCCTCTGTTCTCTTTGTTTCCTTGCGGCGTGAAATAAAGCGATGTAAAGATGAGGCGCTGGAGCTCGTGTGTCTGCTCTGTACCTGCCACCCATGTAAAATGGCACTGGGGCTTCCCCTCTCCAGCAAAGCCCCGGCCTCGAGGAGCCTTGGACCCTGTGACACTGTGTCACGCAGGGACGTCGTCTTGGGCCACAGCAATTGGGTCATGGAGCAATTTGGGACACATCATTGTGGAGAAAAGACAGCCTGGGCTGGCTCTGGGCGGCACCACTGCTCTTGGGTGTGCGTTGATGCCAACATGACACCGTGCATCGTGTGGTGGTTGAAACTTGCATGAGAGGACAGCCGGAGCGTTAGGGCAGGGATGGAGGGACCGTGGAGGCAGGAGGAGAAAAGCCAGCAAAGCAGGACCAGGGTGGCTCAGCTACCGTGCTGTCACCTTCGGGCTCAGCACAGGGTGAGGGATATGCAGTTTGGAGCACTTCTGCAGCAGAGGGGGTTGTGGGGAGGGCATCAGAGCTGCATTTACACTAAGCCTAGGTCATTTAGCAGCTTTAACACATAGATGACATGCAGCACTTACCACAGCAAGCAGGGGTTCAGTTTTGCAGCGAGTCTGTAAGGCCTTGTGGCCAGAGCTTGCCAAGCTCCTTCCCCCTGACCTGTTCCTGACTTGCCTGCAACTTTGTTTTACCTCCTTTACCTATAACAGCAATTTTGCTACGTGAACAGGTATCTGTGACGACCTTTACTTTTTGTTTATCTTGCCATAGCACAACCAAAGTTTTATATACAGAGCGGTAACACAGAGTTATTCTATATAAAATATTGACGACGCTGACATGGCGATGTCGTATAGAGGGAACAGAGTCTTGGGATGACAGCAGCAGCCTTGAGAAGTGATGATGCAGGATGAGGTGGGGAGTACAGGCGTGAAGGGGTGAGATACAGGGCTGAGGCTTGGCACCAGAGCCCTCGTGGCTGTAAACTGCTTGGCCAGCCCTGGGTGCGGTGGCTCAGCCCAACACAAAGTATAAAAACATCAAACAACAAATGTGAGAACTTGGCAGAGGGCAGTGCGCTTGAGCTCCTGTCACCCTGCGCGTCTCTTCCCAGCACGATGATGAGCATAGTCTGGAGCCTGGTAAGGAGCTTGATGCTTGGACTGCGCTTCAACCGTGTGCTGTGGTTGCTATATGCTGCTGAATACTGCTGAAGTGCACTGCTGTGTCACCGGGCTGCGGCGAGCTCCCGGGCCACTTCAAATAAGTAAAATCTGTATTAAACATTAATAAACATCCATGAACATTCCACATGTGGAATATCTAAAAGAACCTGTTCAGAGAGCCTTGGGCTCTCCGCTGTGGCCGTGGGCTCTACTGAGAGAAGATGCCCTTGAAGCGGATCTTGTCCTCGGCGTCCTTCTCGCGCAGGCGAGCTTCCAGGCTCCGCAGCTCCTTGGAGACGACGGGGCGCAGCGAGGGGTCGAGGGCCAGCACTTTGGCAAAGTCAGCCTGCGCCTCCGCCACGTTCCACACCGCTGCGTGGGCCTTCCCCCGCTTGAAGTAGGCCTTGACGTTGTCTGTGGGGAAGAGAGCTCCTGGGTTAGGGCAGCACAGGGAGGCCTCCCCAGCACCCGCTTGCCCTGTTGGCACCCACCACAGCCGACTGGGCTGGTCCGCAGCTCCTTACCCTCGTACTTGTTGAGAATGGAGGAGCAGTGATCCAGCACCTCGTAGTACTCCTCGCACTGCAACTTGCATTGGCAATAATTTAACAGCAAGGGTGTGATCTTCTGGTCAAGCTCGATCCAGTCCGGAGAGCCAGGCTGCTCCTGCAGGATGAGATGGAAGAGAATGAGGGGAAGCTCCCAAGCCCCGCACAGCAGGAGGGATGTGGGGAGGTCTGCATCCGGCCACGGAGCCCCACCTTCATCTGCAGGTTCTTGAGACAGGCGATGGCATCGTAGTATTTGGCAGCTGTTTCCCCTCCCCCTGCCGGTACAGCTCGTTGCCTTCCTTGTGGATCAGGGGTACGGCCTGCAGCTTCTCCTCATCCGTCATGGCCCATGGGTCCTGCTGGTAGGAGCCGGGTGCCTCCACCTGCCGGCACCCACCATGAGGGCAGAGCTGCAGCACCCTCCTGCCTGCAGCCTCCGCCTGGCGCT